TTTCATGCAAATATAAGAAGCAATACACACTTACTTGCAAAATGTTCAGAAAGTGTAGGTAAAGATCGGAGCCCAGTCCTAGAGCAGCCTCACTGAGGGCCGAGCCCCTCTGACCCCCCCCCCCCCCTCCTTGTTCAGGATCTGGTTTCGCCCAAAAGAGTTTAGTTGCACTGGATTACTTAGTAGTAGAAGATAGTAATTCAGATCCCTAGGGATTAAATTCGCAATCATTCATTCAGAGGTGTGCAGCCGGTTTATTTCTGTGTCACCAGCACAGCAATTTCTTACACCTATCACGGTTACAAAGCTGTGTGGATCACATTTACAACAAAGTGATTCTGACAGAAGGCACCAAGAACATACCCTGGAGTAAGGACAGTCTTTTCAATAAATGATGATAGGGAAACTGGATAGTCATATGCAAAAGAATAAAACTAGACTCCTATCTCACTAGTTAAAAAATCAACTCCAAAAGGATTGGAGACTTAAATATAGTGCCTGAAATTAGGAAACTACTAGAAGAAAGCACAGGGGAAATGCTTCCTGACATTGGTCTGGGCAAGGACCTCAGAAGCACAAGCAACAAAAACAAAAATAAACTCTTGGGATTACATCAAACCAAAAATCTGCACAGCAAAGGAAACCATCAATAGAGATGGAATACAGAATGGGAAAATATTTTCAAACTATGCATCTGACAATGGATTAATGTCCAGAATATATAAGAAACTCAAACATCTCAGTAGCAAAAAAAAAATTAAAAAAAAAATCCAATTACAAAGAAGCAAAATAACAAATATCATCAGGGAAATGCAAATTAAAACCACGATGTCCTCCCAAAGTCTCATGTGTTCAGAGGTGCGGGTGGGTGGGAGGAGGTGGGTCACTGGGGTCATGACTTGGGAGGGTGTATTCTTGTCCGTAGCTCCTTCTTTCTCTGCTTCCTGGCTGCCATGGGTTGAGCAGCTTCCCTCCACCAGGCCCTTCCACTGTGCTGCTTCTGCCTGGGAGCTGACCATGGACTTAATTCACTGAAATTGAGCCAAAATAAACCTTTTCTCCTTTAAATTCTGGTACCAGTGTTTTGTTCCAGCAAAGGGAAAGTGACTAATGCAACACATTTTGAGTTATCACATTGTATCCCATAAAAATGTGTAATTATTGCCAGGCATAATGGTGCTCACCTATAATCAAAGCACTCTAGGAAGCTGAAGCACAAGGATTGAAAGTTTGAGCCCAACCTGGGCAATTTAGCAAGACCTTGTCTCAAAATAAAAAGTAAAAAGTGTGACAGTCCTGGGGTCAATTTCCAGTACCACAAAAAAAGAAAAAAAGAGTACGTACAGTTATTATGTATCAATAGAAAAATAATAAATAAGACATTATGGTAGAGTGACTGTTAGGTAATTTTTCTCTTCCCACTTTTGCAGAGCTTACTCAGCTGCGCTGTGTTGACCTCTGAATTTGCTCCTTCTCTATGATTCTTCAAAGTCTAGCTTTCCATCTACTTTGTCCCTCTGGCTTCAGTTCTTAGCCTTCCACTCTTTCCACCAACATCCTAAGTGAACCTGTAACCAGTTTCCTCCTGTGCTGTGATCTGGGTCCTTGTTTGGGAGCAACAAAGTTTGAAGCCAACAAAACACCAAGCAGCAAGCAGTAGGGGAATAACCAAATGTATGTTTATTCGAAAGAATAAAAAGGAAAAGCTCCTAGCTTCTCCAGAAGGGTTTCCATAAGGCAAACAATGTAGATATTGAAGTCCATTGGCCTTTTACACAGTTTTTGGTATAGGTGACTATGAAAAGATGCGAGGATGCTCCTGGTTACTGGTAGGCCTTTGCTGTCCCACAAGCAAGCTGTTTTGTTTGAGTTTCACTTCCTCCAGGGCTTCTCAAATTTGTTTACGGATCTGTTTTTTTCCCTTGCATTCCATTATGCCCTGATCGTTTATTTGAATTAATTATTTGGGCCCCTTGTTTGTCAACATACTTAAGCCCTGACTTTTAGTTTACTCGAGTTAACTATTCAGGACCTGTGTCCTATCTGCCTAACTTCCTCTATCTCCTGACTTCAAACCAACCCACCAAGTGACACACACACCAGCTACCCCTTCCTCCCACTAAGCCTCACCCGGACAGGGATGTAAGCCTTTGAACCTTCCTCCTAGAGCCTCACCAGACCAGCCCTAGGAGACTTTTATACTCAGCTGTCATTTCTTGGGTACAGCTGTCCCGCCCAGACCTGAATCCTCCGGAATGGAAGGCCTGAGGTTCATTCACTAGTTCAACTTTTACGGGGGACTGCCTGCCTGCCTGTATGTGTCTGTCTGTCTGTCTGTCTCTCTCTCTCTCTCTCTGTGTCTCTATCACACAAACACACACACACATACACGCGCACACACACGCAGCTAGAGGTTGGTCCTGGCATCCTGCTTCTACAATAAGGTCACCTTCCTTTTGGGACAGGTACTGCGTGGTCGAAGAGTCCGAGGCACACAAGCTCCAGTACGTGTCTGCCTGCTCGTGGCCTGCCCCGGGGGCGAGTCATATCCATCTCGACCCGAAGTCTTGGCCTTTTGAGCGAGCTGGGGCTCCAGGAAAGGGGAGACGCGCCCTACAGCCAGCTTCTTCCACCTGCACCCGTGAAGGTCCAGCAGTCCAGGCGCACTGGCCTGGATACTGTGTTCCGAACCCGGAGCTACAGGCCGACGGGCTCCGCCCCATTCGGCTGGCCCTCCTCCGGGGGCGGACCCCTTGACCCGGCGCGGAGGGTTAGGCTCAGACCGCCTTTCCGGTGTTCACTGAGAGTCTAGGCTCCTCCTGCACACCCACTACCTCCGGCAGCTGCAACAGGTAAACAAAGGCTATAGATACGTAAACACAAAGAAGGAACTGCTCAAGAGACTTGCCTCTCAGCAAAGAAACAGTTTTGCTCACTTACTTTTGTTTAAAGGACTGAAAGCAAATATGACAAAGTTGTGGTCTTTGGGCCCCGGGTGTCAGGAATGTGAACTTTTGCTTGCACTTTTTTTTTTTTTCATAAATGTGCAAGTTCTCAGTGAGGAAAAGCAGATGTTACAGCTTGGAGGTAGCAGGGCGGAGGCTGAAACACCCGCCGTCATGCCCGAGCGGGGAGAAGGGGCGCTGAAGGCACCGGAAGGAAAATGGAAAGAACCTCAAGGAACTCTCCCAGAGCTCCTCAGACATCAGTGAGCCAGGGAACAGCGCGGTGCCTCTTTCTCCAGGCAAAGATAGCAAAAGAGTATAATAAGGCCCCAGTGAGATTTGAACTCACGACCCCTGGTTTACAAGACCAGTGCTCTAACCCCTGAGCTATGGAGCCAAGCATAGCAAAACCCTCACCAGACAAATAGTTGCTACCACCGTCAAAGCACAGCTGCAGATTGCTGAATTAGGTAACTGGCCAGCGCCAAGCCCCAGCTGAGGGATGTGACCAGGCTGAGAAGTGAAGACAGTGGCAGGGGTGGGGGGTGGACAGAAGGTCGAGGTGTTTGCAGAAGCTTGGCCAAGGTTCAGAGTCCCCCGGTCCCTGCATGACCTGCAGCACAATTAGGCAAAGACAATCCTTAGGGCACATCTTTGACCCTCGGGGAGCTGGTCTGTCAGGGCCCCAAAGGGGATCACCAGGTAGAGAGGTCAAGGAAAGAAGTGGGGGCACAGATGAGGGACAGGCGGTATGGTCTGGTAAAGCCAAAGGATCCTGTGATAGAGGCGGTAGGTCATAGACAGCCTGGTGGCCCAACATGCCCTGTGGTCCCTAAAGGTTAGGTGACTTGAGTCACTGAGCGGCCAGGCCTGGGGTAGGCCTCTGAGTGCCCTTTATCTGGATGCTGAGGAGCCTTTGAGGACCTAGTGACAGAGTCCTGGGTTCTCCCAGATCTGAGACTAATGGGTGGGGTTAGCAGGACCCGTTAGGCCAGTTAGTATCCTCAGATCTTATGATACCCACAGGATGGAAGGGGGAAATGCACACATTATCACACTAGCACTGTGTCATTCAAGTACTGTGACCTAGTTGCCCTTGTGTCCAAGAAAGAACATTTCTTCCCTTCTATATGTAATTGTTACAGCAACTGTGGTGACATTTCTTGCTGTATATAGATGTCTGTAGTTACTCTGCAAGCACATGTTCTCTGATGAACGCACAAACGCAAAATCTGAAAATACATGTGTAGAGAGCTACTGCCACAATCCCCATTCTTTGCCTCACAAGCATATATTGATACCTCTATCAGACATCCAGCCCTCTGAGACCTGTAATGTTCTGTGATACGCAGCACAGTTAGTTGTTAAATGGCACAAAGGGAACTGTGCCTCAGCCCCCCAAATGCTGGGATTATAGGTATATACTGCCATGCCCAGCCGACTTGATATTATGATTTCCATCTGAAATGTCTCCCAGGGCCGGGAATTTAGCACAGTGGTTTCAACGCCTGCTTTGCAAGCTCAAGGTCAAATAAACAAAAAAAATAAAATGTCTCCCAAAACCAGATGTGATGGCCAATCCCAGAACTTGGGAGGCTGAGGCAGGAGGATTGCTGTGAGTTCAAGCTTGAGTTCAAGGGCAGCCTGAACTACATAGCAAGACCCTGTCACAAAAAAACAAAAAAAATCTAAAATGTCTCCCAAAAGTCATCTATTCAAAGGTAGAGCTTTTGGAAAGTGGTTAGATCGTGGGGTGCTATATTCACCAATGGATTCATGGCTGAATGTAATGTTATGAGGTGGAAACTGATTGGAGGTAGGGCCTAGGGGCATGACCTGGAAGGGTGATCAGTTCCCATCCTTTGTTCCTCCCTTCTCTCTCTGCTTCCTGTCTACCATGACCTGAGCAAGTTTTCTTCATCAGGCATTTCCACCATATAGTTTCTGTCTTGGAGCCAGCCAAATATGGACTGAACCCATTGAAACTGTAGGCCGAAATAAGCTTCTCCTTTAAGTTGTGGCTAATATTTAACAACAAATCAATAATAGGATATGACCAGTTGACTTAGATCTATTTGCAACAATTAAACTCTAAGCACCTACTCCTAAATGCCTTGTCTAAAAATCCACATGCTTCTCACCCCAAATGTCAGGTATAAATATATGCACCCATATTTCCCATATACACAAACACCAATGCTTAGTTATTATTAGTAGAAACACTTGCTCAGACTTGTCCCTCTGTAACCAGACCAGAGGAGATGAGAACAAGTCAAGCCATCTGTAGAAATGAGCCCACAATCTGTATTTCCATCTCCCCATAGCCCTTCCCAGGGGAGCAATAAGCAGGATACAGCCCACCATCTTCTTCCCAGAAAGAAGCCCAGGCATCCAAAAGCTGGGAAACAATCAGCCAGGAGGATAATGAGGTTGGCTTGCTGAATACCCTCCTGGGCACAGGCTGAGCAGGCCTTGGCACATAATACTCTACTGTCAGCATTCATTTGGCAAGTTCCAAAAAGTCTGTTGGGAGCATGTTTCGGTTCTGTGCATTTCTATGCTTGTGCTAGTTACATGTGTAAAATTATCTGTGTCAACATGTGTTTCAACATTCTAGGACCTTTGATCTCCTCACCCAAAGAAGACTGTAGCCTGATGCTGTATAATAGGTTGGTATCTGTGAGAACACATGTTGGTTGCACTGTGGTCAGGAATGCACAAATCCCTCTGCATTATCAGGCGATGGGGTGTTGGAGAGTAGTAATGCCCATAGCCTGTTGTCCTCACCTTTTCCTTCATGTTTGGGTCAAGAGTCTCCTCCTAGTTCTAATCAGACTGAATTCTGAGCTGGGAAGACAATGCTCTTTCCTCAGTAGATGGTTAGGTATAAGGCCAGCTAGAGCCAGAGGTCTCATGACCTCTCGAGGCAGAGCTGGCAAGAAGATAAATTGATAATGAACATGGGTGTCCCAGGGCCAAACCTGCCCCTTGGATCAGTACCACTGTGTGGCACTGTTCCATGGAACGAGAGGCCTTTCTAAATCATGACAGTAAGTTTTACATGATAGGAAGCACCCATGCCAACAACCAGGATTTTGTCCTCATGGACATACACATCTTCACAATTAAGGCCAAATTTACATGACCATCAAAAGGAGGGAACAGGCCCCAAGGGTCCAAGGCATCTCTCTCCCTATTCATTTGATGAGGCTGGGGATTTAGCTCAGTGGTTCCACCACCTTCCTTGTAAGCATAAGGTCCCGAGTTCGATCCCCGGTACAAAAAAGAAAAAGAAAAAAAAAGAACCCTATTCATGTGATCACAGAGGCCTTTTTTCTCAGTCAATCAACTCTTCATGCTTCCCATGCTGTGCTCCGCAGGGCAGCCTGGAGCAGGAGTGTGGATGCACGCCCGAAACTGAGATTAGACGTCCAAGAATATTGGTAGGAGAGGCATTCACTCTCCTCTTGGGAGGCTGTCCTCCCTCAAGGCCAGATTCGCAAGTAGGTGCCAGTGGAGCACACAGAAAAAAGAGGGAACACACGCTCCTGGAAGTTGACTCGGAAGGTGTAGAGGTGGCGCATGTCCTCCACAGCATAGAAAGACACGGCCCCCACCTCCAGGTCCAGGGCCACCCGCACTCGTGACAGATGCCCACAGCTAAGGGCCGTCCGCTCAGGGCTGGTGACAGCCCAGTACTGTCCGTTGTTGAGCTGCAGTGCCCAGACACCTTCTTCGGGGGTGAAAGGTGTGAGACCCTTGCGGTGCACACTCTCACGGGCCACCCCGAAGGCCCAGCCATCCTTCGAGCCCACTTCCACCTCCCAGTGGTGACGCCCAGAGGAGAAACCACAAGATCCCAGGACGCGAGTGTTGGTATCAAAGCGGCGAGGGTGACTGGGCAGATCCAGAGCCCGCAGTCCAAGGCGCACGCTTTTAAGATCCAAAGACAGGATGAGGCGAGGGTTGGCTGTGTCAGGGTCCAAGGTGAGCTCCGCTGTAGGGCAGAACAAAGAAAAGATGTCCTCACAGCAGCTCTTTCCAAAGCCCCTCTGCTCTCAGGGCCACACCTCTCCCTTCACGGCAAACCTGTCTTCCCTTCCTTGAAGAATCTTTCCAGTGCCAAGTATTTTACTGCCCCATACCCCCACTCAAAAAGTGCTTTCTGAAATCAAACAAATGCCATGTGTGAGTCTGAATTAGACCCTAACACGAGGTGATCAACATATCCAATTTCAAAAACAATTAGGAAAATGTGAACCCTAAATATTGGAAAGAGGTATTTTCCAGGTGTATTGCGGTTATGTTTTATAAAAGTCTTACCTCTTTAGAGATAACATACTGAAATTTGTATGGAAATACCTGTGATTTGCTTTAAAATAATTCAGTGGCAAGAAATTGGTACAATGTCTATGAAAAATATTAGCCACCAATTAATAATTGCTGTATATGATAACTACACATTTGTTACATTCTTTTCTCTACCCTGGAGTATGTTTCACAATCTCCACAATAAAGTTAAAATATATACCCTTGTGAGCAAGACTATTTTCCAGACACTGTTCTGGGCCTTGGAAATACCGTAGAGAACAAAACAGTTGAGTATCCCTAATCTCTTGACGCCACCTTTCTAGCAGAGAGAGAGAGAGAGCCAATAAATGATAAACAGGAAATAAGTAAGATCAAAAAAGCAGACTGTAATTTCAACTACCGTGGCCAAGGAAAGCCTCACTAGAAAGGTGGGTTTAAGCAAAGACACAAAGAAGATGAGGAATCCAGTCAGTCAGCTGTTTAGGGAAACATGTTCCAGACTGAGGGGTAGAATGCAATGCAAAGACCCTGGATGCATGCTTGATGCAGTCTAGCAGCAGCAAGGAGAGTGAGTGGCTGCAGAGTGAACTGGAGGACAGTGTGTGCAGGGAGGCCAAATCCTCTGAGGGCTTAAAGGCCATTGTGAGGTTTACTGAATAAATGGAAAGGGGTCATCACAGGGTGCTGAGCAGAGGAGAAACAGAGTTTCACTAAATTGGGTTAGATCTTACCTATGTGTACTGTGATTTAGCTCCGTCTTTCACATAAATACTACATGTCCTCTCTCCCCTTTGGTGTTAGATACCACACACTCTAGAGCTCTCCGTTATAATACCCATCTTCCTTCCTGCCTACCACCTTGCCTGCTTCCTCTGTCCCCCTCTACATAAACCCTATATCCAGGAGAGGGTTCTGTCTTAATGTGGAGACAGAAGAGAAAGGCTCATGTAGATGACAGACAAGCCTTCCCTCATCTAAGTAACCTGAGGCCACAATACCTCTCATATGCTCCTGACCAACCCACAGCTTAGGGGTCAACAGGCATCACTAACACCTGAGAGTGTCAAAACTGCAAGGTGAGGACCACAAGTGGCAAATCCATGCAGGCAGGTTGGCAGGAACCAACTGTGTGCAAAACCCAAAACTAGTCAACACCAGGGGCTGAGTTCTCCACTGTACTCACTATCACAACCATCATCCATACCTTTCTCCTCTTTCTCCATCTCCCCTTGAAGGTCCTCTGAGAAGGAGAAACAAAGCAGAGCATGCATGAACAACATGGGAGACTGTCTGGCAAAAATACTCACTCTTCCAACATTTATAGCCCATCTGACTCACTCATTCCATCGAGACTCTGAAGGCCAAGAGTTGGTGTAGAAGCACAGGGCCCAGACTCCTGAGAATTTTAGCTCTCCCTTTTCTTACTTCCCTCTCCTTTGCCCGGAGCTAGTCTGAGGTAAACTCTCCCTCCTCCGCTCTTCCTCGGTCCCCAGTACGCCTCCACCTTGTACGTTCCCATGGAAAGCCACATGCCCTGGGGGAACCCACAAATAGATTTGCTACTACTGCCTTTCTACACCAACCTGGCCTTGGCATCCACCAGCTCCTATTTCTTCACATAGGCTCTGGGAAGGCACACCCCCAGGACCCCTGAACTTCCAGAAACACACGGCCATCGCACACACTGCATGAATCAGCTCATACCCAGGCCCTTACCTTTGAACTTCTTCAGCAGCCCTTTTAAGATGAAGGTCTTGAGAGAAACATTCCAGACTTTATTCTTCATCTCAGAGGAGACTGTAGTTGGTTTAGGGGCAGGAACATTGCTGCATCTGCACAACAGAGACTCTTAGAAAGACATAAGAACATCATTCCCCTACTACTGGGCCATGACAATTACAACAGTGCTATTGTTTGAGTAAGTGGCCCCTACAGGTCCATGTATTACTGGCTTGGCTGTCAGCCCGTGGTACTGTGGGGAGTAGGTGGAACCTTTAGGAGATAGGGCCTACTGGGAAGAAGTTAAATCATCAGCAGTGTGTCCTCGAAGGGGATATTCGAGCTCTGGTCCCTCCTTTCTTTTCTTTTTTGTTTCCCAACTGCTTCCTCCACCACAAGCTCTCACAATATGTTACCTGGCCACTGGCTCAAAAACAATAGGGCCAAGCAATCATGAACTAAAACCTCCAAAACCGTGAGCCAAATAAAACTTTCTTTTAAATTAATTATCTTAGTTTATTTTGTCACAGTAATGCAAAGCTATGTAACACAGATGGTGAGGTCCTCTTGGCAGAAAGTGTTAAAAAAAAAAAAAAGAACAGGACAGGGAGAGCCATACCTTATGCAGAAAATACAGCCTGGCAAGTGGGCATTTGCCTCTGAAATTACCCAGATAAATATGTGTGGGTTGGAAGATCAGGAGGTGAGAGATACAGAAGGGGATAAAAAGAGAGAACTTAGTTTAAAAGAGCCAGAGTAGAAAGACCCAAGGAACTGTTAGGTTCACTCACTTGCTTAGTGCATTCTTGAATTCCTGGGGAAAAACAATGGAAGAAAACGGAGTCAGCATCAGGTGACCTTCATTCATCTCTGAGAAAAGAAAACTCACCCCTTACCCTGTCTTCAAGAAAATAGCCAATAAGTGAGCAAAAAGCAAGTATACTGTGCCCACTGCCTGTGTGAAGGGCCTATCAAGGGACAATGGCTTCCAATATGGCTGCCTGCTGGCTGATCCCTCAAATCCCTATCACAGCTCTGAGACATCTGTATTTCTTACAGAATCATATTTGGAGCCCTCTGGTGGTACCCAATGTTTGCCTCTGCTATTGAAATAACCCAAAACAAGTCATAGATCTTACGCCATGATGGGTCACCTGGACCAGTGTCTTTCTCTTCCCCCAGTACTGAGGACTGAACCTGTTACCACGCACATACCCTATTCCCCTTTAGTTTTTATTTTGATATAGGGTCTTACTAAATTGCCCCAGCTATCCTGAAACTCTCTCCACCATTCTGCTTTAAACCCTTATCCCCACCCCTCAGTGTACCACCCAATATCTGAGATTACAAGTGTATGCCACCACCATACCCAGCTAAATGCCTGTCCTTGATCTATTTGTGCTTTATGAAGTTTATCTAGTGGGTTATATCTTTAAAAAAGTAGAATTTTAAAACAAAGTGTATCAATTTTAAATCAAAGTGTATTACAGTTGGCAGCAGTAATATTTTCTGAGGCTTTTGTCTCAAGTATATGGAATACAATGTAAGACATATTATTGTAGCTCAGACGAGAGAGTTTTAAGGAGCTGGGAATGTAGCTTAGTGGTATAGCAATTGTGTAACATGTACATGACCCTAGGTTTGATCCCTAGCACCACATAAAAAGAATGAAAGAGCATTTTATCATATCCCTTTAGACCTCCAACTCCAGGAGAATTGGCACCTCTCTCCAGTCCTTCTTGGCTCCAGATGTGATTGTACTAACTCTCAGGATCTTATCATTCTCTAGCTGCCATTCCTGTGCTTTAGAATAATCAATGTTAGGATGAATGACTCAACCAAAACCCTGACTCAGCTAGACTCACCTGGAGGAAGTCAAGGTCAGGCTTTTGAGCTGTCTCCTGGATCTGGCTGCTGAGTTTGGAAAGCTGAGTGATCTCACCTCCCAGCTGGGCCATGTTCTCATTTTGCTTCTGTGTCACTTCCCAGGACAGCTCCTCCAGCCGGCCCAGGAGCCGACCCTCCTGTTCCACCAGGAAGGCCCTCAGTGCCTGGAACTCTGCCCCTACCTTCTCTCTCTCTGCTGCCATCTGCTTCTGTCCCAAGAGGAGGAGAAGTTGGAGAGGTGAGGAGAACTGACATAAAATCAAGACATAAAATCTGGGCCAGGGATTTAGCTCAGTGGTGCCACCACCTGCCTTGCAAGCGCAAGGTCCCAAGTTTGATCCCCCCCACACCCCCCATCCCCCGTACCAAAAAAAAAAAAAAATCCATATAATTTGGACAGGAGCCTCTGAGTTGTTCCACATGACAGGGTTCCATCCCCCTCACTGCTTCAGGGACCAGAGGCTCATCAACCTTGTCTTCCTCTGCTACAGACATGCCTGGTTGTCTCTTTTGGTTTGAGCTATACCACTTAAACTAGGGCAACTTTAAACTCCCCCCAGAACTACCTCAAATTGTAGTTGTCTGACTTGAAAAATGACCAGGATAAATTAATGGCTCTTGGGGCCACCATAAGCATTAAAGTTAAGTTGCATTTTGTCTTTCCCAAAACATTTATTTTGTCACCCTTAAACTTCACTGTTCATTTTACTTCTTTTTAAAGAGCACATTTAGCAATTATAATGGTAATACATTTTCAAAATACAAAACTTGGGAAATGCAGGAATGAAAGAATTAAAACATGACACCAGCACCAGAGGTAATAGACTACTCGTGAAGACCTAAATGAGAACATGCTGTGTGCAGGCTTCACAGTCTGCTCTTTCCATTGACTTAACACACGGAATTTTCACTCCTGTTTTGCTAGATACAGACCCCCTCCTGATCTCCTGATTTTTTATGTGGACAAACATTTGGCACTCTTCCTGATAATGATCGTGGCCTCTCATGGTCAATGACAATGACAAGAATTCCATCCCACCAAGACAACTCAACTGTCAAAGCTGCTTTCCCCTGAAAACTCTAGGGAAGAGAAAGAGGTGGCTTGAGGAGTAGATAGTGGGGTAAGGAGGGCATGGTGTTGAGGTCAGGAGACTGGTTACAGATCTTGGTCCCCCATACCTCCCACAGTGTCTTACCTTATCTGCATCATCAGACACTGGGCAGACAGCAGCTGCACAGAGCGCTTTATAGGTATTAACTCCCTCAACCTGAGAACTCAATGAAGGGAGTATACTTCTCATCCTGCTTTACAGGTGAGGGAACAGAGGCAGAAGGACCTATCTGTAGGAAGTGAAAAGCAAGGATTCCAACCCAGAATCTAACCCCAGATGCTGAACTTTTGCTAATCACATTGTGTTGGCTCCCATAGGAAAAACACAAGTGAGATTTTACCAAAAATCTCTTGGGTTTGAATATGACCCCTAAGGGTTCATGTGTTGGAAAACTTCATGGACAAATACATATGTAAGTGGTATTTGGAAGTGGAACCTTCCTTTGGGATGTAATGAGGACTAGATGAAGGTGGGGAAGTAAGCCAGGTGTGTTGGTACAGTAGCAGTACATGCCTGTAATCCCCGAACTCTGTGAGGGTGAGGCAAGAGGATTAGGAATTCAAGCCCCACCTGGGCACTTTATCAGTTTAGCTCAAGCTTGTCTTAAAATAAAAAGTATTTTTTTTTAAAGGCCAGGGATGTAGCTCGGTAAGAAGGCACTGTGTTTAGTTCCCAGTACCACAAAAAAAAAAAAAAAGATGACCTGAGCCAGCACTCATGTTACTCATGTTCTGTCTCATCATGTGATACTCTCTTCTGTACTGTGGTGCAGCAAGAAGGCCCTTAGGCTCTTACAAAGTGCGGGGCTTTGGGACTTTCCAGTCTCCGGAACTGGGAGCCAACTGAGCCTCTGTTCTTTACAAACTGTCCAGTCTGTGGGTTATAGCAACAGAAAACAGACTATGCTGGTTTCCCAACATAGATCCTACTAACATTTGTGGCCAGATAAGTCTTTGTTATGGGATTGGCTCTGTTGTGGGATTGTTATTGCATTGTAGGATATTTAGTAGCACCTCTGACCTCTATCACTAAATTCCAGTAGTGCTCTTCTCTCAGTGCTGACAATCAAAAATGTTTCCGGATTACCAAATGTCTCCTGAAAGGACATTTTCAGTAGAACTATTTCTTCTTAAGGGGTATAACTCAGTGGTAGAGAACTTGCTTAGTGTGTACAAGGCCCTGTATTCTATCCCTAGAATTAGAAAAAAAATATTCATTCTTATCATCACACAGCAATAACTGTATACCACCTCTATTGTTCCATTAAGCAAATATTTTATAATCATAAAGACTGTGTGGGCTGGGAGTTTAGCTCAGTGGTTCCGTTGCCTGCCTCACAAGTGCAAGGTCCCGAGTTCAATCCCCAGTACCAAAAAAAAAAAATTGTGTGGACCAGAAGGAGGGGAGTAGATGGGTTGGGTTGGTGTTGGGAGAAATAGAGGTGGAATGTGTTAAACAATGTCACGGGAGTTGGATCAGATACTGAGAAGCTGACCATATTGGGGACATCCTCTGCATTACAGATGTAAAATGAGATCTGAAGAGCTACATGCTTTATCCTTTTTCCAGCAGAGGTAAGAGGAAAGTCTGGAAAGGTGAGCTCTTCCTTGTAGAGGGGAGTGAATGATCAGATGTAAAGGTCTAGGATGAACAATAGATGGAAGAGTAACAGATGTGCTTGAGGGTTAGGGGACAACCCTAAAGTATGTGAACTCAAGAGTCCACCTCTGTCCCCTCCCAACCTTGAGGCTAGGAAAGGCCTTAAATTCTTCTCCCTCCAGTTTCCAATGCTATAGCCAAATGTCTACTCTAGTGGGCCCTACTAGATGCTTTTATTCTTTCAACACCTATTTATTGAGTTAGGTTAGACAGTGACTCATGTTTGCCTCCCTTCACAATAATGAGCCCCATTTCACTTTACTGTGACTTTATGAAAAACATAATATCAGGCTGGGGATTTACCTCAGTGGTTCTGCCACCTGCCTTGCAAGCGCAAGGACCTGAGTTCGATCCCCAGTACCAAACACAAAAACAAAACCAAAACCCTAATATCATCCCATCCCAAATGGCAGAAGGTGAAGTGCTGGGCATCCTGGGCTGTACAGTATCCTAGTCTCCAAAGCTCCTACCCTCTGCAGGAGCCAAAAACATCTCTGATAACACCGAGCCCCTTCTCCCTTACTTCACTTCCAAAATACACAACCTCTGAGAATGGAGACACTTTTCACGACACTTTTTGTGGCAAACATGTCTTGAACTGATGTGTGGCTCCTTATTATATTCATGTTTACTTTTTTTGAGACAGGGTCTCACCATGTCGTTCAGGCTGGCCTTGAACTCACGGTGATTCTCCTGCCTCAGCCTCCCAAGTGCTTGGCATTACGGGCATGTGCCACACCACCTGCCTGTGTTTCTGCTTAACATGAATGCATATATGTTTCTCTGAAAAGCTATTAATGTGTTCAATTACAGAATGCTTCCACAGGCCCTAATTGGTATGCTAGGTAATATCAAAAGGACAATACATCCTCATTCACTGGGATAGTGCCAGTTTAACCCAGACGTTCTACAATGATGATTTCAGTACTCCCTTTCACTTTCAGAAGCTCTAATTTGCATGGTAAATCATATAGTATTCTATATAATATGCACCCTATTACTCTGTCTTTCTGAAACCCATTCTGCTTTTCAGGACGCAGGTACTCCGACGCCTCACACACAGCTAGCCCTGGTGGTGGGCAGCCCATACACAGCTCACCAGTAACTCCTTGCTCTCCTTCTCTTCTGCAGACCGAAACACCTCATAGTCCTCCAGATCCTTCTTCAAGACCCTCAATCTGGAATCCAAGAGCTCCTGCAGGTGAGAAGGGAGAGACTGGAATTCCCCCCTATGGGCCTTCCCGTGCACAAAGAGCCAGTCAGGAGAAGGGAGGCATTGCTCCTGCAGGAGGCTGGATAGAAGTTATCTCTGGATGTCGGAATGAACATAGTCTGTCTGGGATACACTTAGGGGAACAAGGCAACTGCAGGCTAATCCAAAGGCCTCAGAGTCTCAATTCCCCCAAACCATCTGCCAGCAGATCTGGGCTCAAACAGGGCCTCTACAGCCCCACCGTCTCCAGCAGAAATCCCCTAGGTGGAAGGATTAGGGCAGGGAAGGAAAGAAAGGCTGTGCGCCAGAGGTGTCTGAACCTCCGGTGATTTC